CTTCCATTTTATGTATTTTTCCATCTTTTTTGTTTGTCACCTTATATTGCAAGGCTGGTTCTCATACATGAAACAACACTACAGTCACGCAAGAATATCTAACAGTGGGAGGCACAGATTTTACCATTAGAAGTTAAACAACAAGGTTTGGGCACTGGAAGGTTTGTTATCCTTTGATTTGTACAGGGCTTCAGTCTTAAAATTATTTCTTTGGTGCTTTGGACACTTTATTTTCCTATTTGGCAAAGCTAACCTGTTTTACTCTAATCTTCTGCTATCAAAGTAGTTAGGGCCAAATAAGAATAATAGATAGAGAGGGAGATTACAGTTTCTATTAATAATTTGCATCCATTTGTTTAAGCAATATTTATTCAAGGTTCAAAAAGCTCTTAGAAAATTGTATTTATTAATTAGTGTACACAATACTCTATAAAGTATTTATGTACGGCCTATCTCCAGACTTCTTTTAGTCTGAGTTTGTACAGACCCAGAGATTTATTTTGACTAAACACATAGGAACCGTCTGACTCAGATATACTTGTACCTGAGCCCTGGAATAATTTTCAATGTTATCTTAAATTTAAGGTGTCTACAAGTATGTATTAGTTTCAAAAATCTCAGGTAACCTACCATAGTAGAGAAATAACTCCAAGTGTCTAAGATACACATTATTATCAAGCTGATATTAACGACTAATCCCACCAATTAGCCCAAATAGCAAAAGCTCCAAAACTACTTTCCCGATCCATTCAATTGGCTCTGACTCAGTTAGAAATACGCTTGCAGCAAATTTCATTCAGCCTTCTATTTGCCAAGCAAAAGAGGTTACATTAATGAAAAATTAAAGCTTGTAAATTGAAAAAAAACCTTTTAAAGACAAAACCAAAGAGAAAATACATAAAACGTACACACCATTTCAGCCAAGCAGCATGTTGGAAGGAACGTGTGCTTTTGCTGAACTATGCTACCTCTGCCTGCTGGAATGCTGGAATATAAAATGACATGTTGTATTAGATTCTACTGAATTTAAGATCTTCCTTCGAGGCATTTATAGTGAAATAAAGTATTTTCCAGAAAAGACTCTTTGAAAAGTGACATTGCTTTCAGCAGAACCCTCCTGAAGACAACTTCCAGTTTAGTGACACAGGGCTGGGTGAATTCCTACCTAGCCTATCACAAGAAATCATACACTGGACATGCACATCATGGGAGAAGAAGGGAAAGCCTTAGCATAGGACTTGTAGTAAAGACTTGCATTCCTATGAGATCAGCGTCAGTACTGAGGCATATATAACTCAAAAGCTGACCACTTAATAGCTTTAAAGTGTTCAAAGTTCTTAAGTTCTTCCAAACACAGCTTTGACAGAGAAATGTGTGTTGTGCCATAGTTTCACATTTCCTCTTGCAGGATATACTAATTTGGGCTAAATACGTCTGTGACTTAATAAAACAAAAAAATAAACCAAATCACTAGGCCACGTTGCTCTAAACCCAGATAACGTCAGAAGAGGTGTGTGAGATTTGAAGTTTTGCCACTGAGATTAGGGGCTGCTCTGTTGATTTCCATAGTACTTGCATGAAATGGAAATTAGCACAGGCTATAACCATTTGTCATCCTTTTCTTATTTGTTTCCAAAATTTGATTTCCTGTTCAGAAGAAGGGCATGTTCGTGAGTCAAAGCCAAGCTGAAAGTAATCAGACCCTAGAAGGCACTTTTAGCTGGCTTTGGATCAGATTCTCCAATGAGGGTACCCTGGATTACTCTCTGCCTGAGGACTTTTTCTCTGCACAGAAGACTCATGTCCACAGTCTTAATTACACCTGAATAACACAAAGCTAATGGTGTTTTTCCCTGTACACTGGTAGAAAATACTGCTTTCTGCTATCATAACCAAGAGGGAATCAGAATACAAAATAGAGATGTCAAAACTCCTTGGACCATGCTGGATGGGAGCTGGTATCACACAAAGGAATATAAATAGGATCCTTGAACTTAAACAGGGATGAAATGAAAATTGGTTAATATAATTTTTAAGGGACCTGTGTGTAAATATCTAGAACTATATATAAAATGGTACATGAGATGTTGCCATTTTTTATTTGCTTATTTTGTAATCTGAAAATAATAATGTTGACAGCACGAACGTGTCTTCTTTATGTTGACCTAAATGAATGAATTTGCTGGTAAGTATTTTCAGGGTATGTTTTAAGTAAATAAAACACAAAGTAATTGAAAGAGAATTTCAGGCTTGTAACCGCAAATATTTGTAGCATAGACTTAAATCTAAGCTTTGGGTTCATCCAATTATGGTATCAAGTTGTTACCATATATACGGTCAGCTCAAAGGGTGTGGGGTGACAGACAACATATCAGCCAGAAAATCTGTAGATGCCATTATGCACTGCAATCTTTTCAGCTCTCACAATCCAAGCAAGAATTGTTTGCAAATCTTGGCAAAACAGATGAGCTGCTTAGTAACATCATTGGGATACTCAGGATATAATGTGCCTTCCTCTGAGACCCATGCAGAGCATCAGGGAAGTGCTAGCGCTAGAGTCTGTTTCACACACAGGCCCTGTTAACTGTTGCTCAAGCCTCCATGGCACTTTTCACAGTTAAAATATTAATTTTGGTGACCTACCCAGTGGTGTATGCAGGAAATGGTGGTTTTCCTATGTAAAATTGCTACTCCAAAATATGACTGCAAAATATATTAATTCTTCCCTACTGCATGACATTGACTACTGAGAGACAGTTTTGCCATCATGATTTCTGATCTGGACCCTTTTCTAGCTCCTAAATTAATTAAACCAAACCAGTGGGATAGACTTAAATTCACACTGGCTTCAGGAAAAAAAAGAAGTAACCCTTGCCTATCATGGGAGGCTGCAGCAACAGATTACAGATTTCAGAAGCCTTGTTCCTGCTTGTTTCATTAAAAAGATATGCACTCTAATAGTGGAAATGGGAGGCAACCTACAGAAAGATGTATTATTACGAGAGGCTGGGACATTGTATTTGTGTGTACTGCAGGGAAAACTTTATTGAAATGACTGCTAAAAACAGCCCAAGAGCAATGTGGGAAATGACAAGGAGGAAAATCCAGAGCTAGAGCCTCGTAAGGGAAGCAGCAGAGTTGGAGTCAGAGATGCAGAAAGGAGAACAGGTGAGGGTCAGAAAGATTGAAAGGAGAGAGAGCAGCACTGGGAGAAGACATGAGAAATTAGATCAGAATCTAAAAGCACTCAGGAGAGCAGGGGAAAAGGCAGAAATTAGAACAGGAGCTAAGAGGAGAGCCGAAGAGGCAATAAAAACTCAAGGAGGAGAAAGAAAAACTGCGAAATGAAGAGAGGAGGACAGGGGAAAAAAAGGGACAGGAGATAAATATGAGGCAACATAAAAGGGCCTTGACCTCCAGTTTGTAAAGATGACGTGATCTGTGGTGTGAAAGAAAAGAAATACTTTGCATTTTTTGAAATGGCCATGAAGAGAGGACCAGGTTACATCTCAGAAATCAATATTGCATTTTATGCCTGCTGCACCCTTCATGAAGAATCAAGACAACATTGATTCAAGTAAGTAATATTTCATTGAAAACTGATCTATGATTGCATAGCTGCAAGGGGCTGGCTCTGAGAGTCCCTCTGTGGTGCCTGTGCTGAACAGGTGTCATTTTGGGCTTGTGTTAGAAGTGATGTGTCTTCATTCCCGGTCCGCGGAACACGTGGAGAGCAGAGGACACGTCACTTTAGTCTTTGAGAGCAGATGATGCTGCATCAGAAGAGCTGGTTTGCTCTCTAGGGTCATTAGTCTGTCTGTTAGTGCGTGGTGAGCAGTCTGGAAGGTTTGCTTTGTGACTGTGTTCATTTCAAGCGGTTAAACGATTATTTTAAGATAATTAGAAAAGCCTGAGACCGATAGTTTAAATCTGCTTTCATGATCAATTGTAGCAGTGTTAGAGCTGGTGTGCAGTCATGAGGCAAAGGACCGTCTCCCTTGGCTATAAGGCCGGGCTCTGCTAATGGTATTAACTGTTTCTGAGACTCTTTTCCCCCCAGTGTTTGAAAGTGTAAAACCTGCCCTTGGTTTTATTTCCCTGCCCACTAATTCCCTTAGGAAAACAGTTACTGTTTATTTTGCTAGCAGATCTTGATGTGTTTCATCCTCCTCAGACCAGGAAGGGTGACAGTGAAACAATTTATAGCAAGACCTGTGTTGGAATTCTCTTTTGGAAAATCACTTTCTTATCTCAAGAAAATCAAAGCATGTGTGGGTGAGAGGATACATTGATGGGGTGGGTACAGAGAAGGCTTTTGAACATAAACCTCTGTGCATCTCTTGGTCCACTCAGTGTTTAGCCATTTGAACTATCCTAGGGCACTAATACTGTTTAGACTTCCCACTGAGCCATCTCACAGCCCGTTATGGGTGTCACACAACACAGAGACACTGCAGGGGATGTTATTCTCTCATTTTGCTTTCTTTGGAACAAATGGAGCCTCAGGCTTCCTGCTTACAAATCCTAGGAGGCAATTTACCACCAGGGAAAACAGCACTGCGGGATTTTGCTGTCACAAAACGAAGTGGCTGGGGCCATCTCACTCAAGCCAAACTAGGAAATTCTGTTTCAAAAATGTCAAAATGTTTCCTTTCAATTGAAAATGCATAAACAAAATATTTCCACAACTTTTCAAACTGCTCTTGAGGAAACAAGGACTCTACACCCCATCTGAGGATGAAAGAACATGTTGAAACATAGACCATGGCTCCATAAATCAGTTCTGTTAACTCAGTCCTCCATTGGTGCAGTATGTTGTTACTTGAGAATTATGATAACTGCAAACTCTTTTTGAGAATTAGTGGAAATAAAACCCAACTGAGAAGTTGACAGGTAGCTCCTGAGAGGTCTGTGAACCAGCTTTTGAGGACAGGCCTACATTCATGAGACTGTGATGCTCTTATTGCTAGCAAAGTTGGGGTAATGGAAGATGTACACAGTCTTGGTCTTTGTTGAAAACATCCACACCTATTTTGGGAAGCTTTTTGAATGCAGCACTCCAGCAAAACTGAGGCAGTGTGTCAGTATAACTTAAATATGTTCCCAAGAGTTACTGATAGTAAATCTGGACTCTGAGCATTTATCACCACGGTCAAGAGAGCAGTGTGATATAGGAAGATGTGATATTATGAATGAGACAGATTGTCTCTGAGTGAGGATAATGGTGACGGTTCACTATAATTAGATGGCTTAGGAAAGCAAAGCTCTGTAATTTCAATGGGCAAAGGCTGCAAAGAGCTTCCAGTGGAGCAGTCCTGGAGTTCTCTTCTCTCAGTAGCCACTAGCAAGCACTGAGGAAACCTGGCTTCTTAGCAACAGTGAATCCTGAATCACCATCTCTTCATGGCAAATTTTTTCTCCCCAGGCACAGAATATTCTAGGACTTCGAGGGTATTTTCCTGGTATTCAGTCAAAATGTGATTATTCAGATGTAGCAGCTAATGCACAACAAATGAGCTCAAATTCCACAGTAACACTATTAAAAACAGAACAAATGTAGTCATATCCAGGATATTATGGTTTTCTGACAAATATAACTTACTCCAGAACTTGGGGATTGTTCAGCCAGCAGAACTGGTAGCTTTCAAAAATGAATAGTAGTGTCAAGTCAGACCCTTTGAACATAGTTTCTAGGCAATGTCAAAAATTAATCTATAGTTATTGTTCAGCAATCAGCCCAAAAATCATTACAGACTTGTTTTGAAGACAAGTGAATGAGGAAGACACCCTGTAGTTTTAAAAGCAATACAGGTGACTTGTGGCCTAAGAAAATGCCACATAAAAGGATTCTGAATAGAAGCGTACATGCCTGTATGCATGTGTGTGTATACATTAAAGAGATAAAAAAATTACCAATGATTGCAAAATATGGTCAACAAATAATGGAGAAAAAAATGCAATGGCCATTTGTCATGAATATAAGCTACTGCTGAAAAGTGTTCATCATATTTCTGCCTTCCCTAAGCCTAATACAAATGTGGAGAAAGTGGCATGACCCATTGAGCTGACATTAAAAGCTTTAAATTGAATTACATTGGCAGAAACCTTCAAAAATTGTCTTGGAGGAGAAAAAAATTCATGACAGAGCGTAGCAGATGTACGAAATTAAGAGCGTTTAGGAAACATTATCTTTGCTCTATGATGGGAAATGTTTCTAATTGCACTCACAGGGTGCATTTAAGATGTGTTTTTATTTAAGAAATGTTTTTTATGATCTGTAACAGATTTTCTGCAGAAATATATAGGCAAAAGTATAAAATGCATATTAAGATACATGTTTTTTGCAGCAATCAACTCCTCTATTTTCATTGTTCAATGAAACAAACTGTAAAGGCAAAATTATTGCATCTATAAGAGTGGGATGAAAAGAAGGACTCTTACTGGGTAACAAGGAACCTGTACCATACTGATGGATGTAATACTCCAGTGCTCATGGGTGGTCTTATATCTCATATCACAATTGGACTATGAGGGTTTCCCACTATATATGCACCTTACTGTACGTTGAATGTTACTGCTGTTCTTTTCCTGGCTACTTAATTCTAATTAAATCTAATAATTGAGATGCAACAGGAAATACTGTATGTGGATTTCAGCATTATTAATAACGTCTGCACTGCGAGGCTTTCCCAGCCAGAATTCAATGTTCAAAATCCTCTTCACACAGTGAAAACTATATAAAAATGCAATGGAATTTCTTTTCTTGCATATTGCAGAATCTCAATTAGTTCCTGCTGTGTCATAGACTCCCATAGATTTAATATATATTGAATCAGATTTGAATATGAGGTATCTTCTAAAATTACACTTTCCTTTTGTCTTTACCAAGAGGCTCATAACTGGAGTTTTTTCTAATGAATAAATACAGTGTTCAAGGTTTTTTTACTGCTTTAAATGGGAGTTGTCAGTTCAAGGCCAAATAGGACTGTCCAATCAATGCCGTAGACTTGCAGCATTGAGTCTAACCTTATCGGTTTCTTTACATTGTATACTTTACCTGATTTCCATTATGATGGGAGTTCTCTGCTTTTTTCCACACAAAGGGAAAAGTTCACACTTACAGATGCACATAATAACCCAAACAAACCCAAGTGGAATATAGACAGAGCAATTAATTCCCTTGTCTCTAGAGGGGATTAGAATCAAAGTGACGAATTTATTCTATTTGGACATTCTGCATTTCCAGAATGTTTACTATTTCAAACCATAATCTCTGAGACTTGCACGGGCCATGTTTCTAATACTCCTTCCTCTCATTGGCTTCTGTGGAAGACAGCACACTTGGAACTAGATATATTTCTGGTCTCAGCTGATATATTTGGGTCTAAGCTCCTACACATCTCATCCAGACTAATACTTTTTTTCTCATTTGACAAGTCTTTTCAAACACAGCTTTTACATTCTATGTTAAATTTCTTTGCTCTGTCTCAAAATGTATAGAATCAGAGAATCATGAAATCATTTAGGTTGGAAAAGCCCTGTAAGATCAAGTTCAATCATTACGCCAGCACTGCCAAGTCCACCACTAACTTATGTCCCTAAACAGCACATCTACATGTCTTTTAAATACCTCCAGGGATGGTGACTCAACCACTGCCCTATCCAAGCCTGTCCCAATGCTTGACAACCCTTACAGTGAAGAATTATTTCCTCATATCCAAACCTCCCCTGATGCAACTTAAGGCCATTTCCTCTTGTCTTATTTATTGTTACTTGGGCAAAGAGACTGACCCCCACCTTGTTACAGTCTCCTTTCAAGTAGTTGTACAGAGTGATAAGGTCTCCCTTGAACCTCCTTTTCTCCAGTCCAAACAATCCCAGTTCCGTCAGTCACTCCACATAAGATGTGCTCCAGAATCTTCACCAGTTTTGTTGCTCTTTGACATGCTCTATCACCTCAGTCAATATAGTCAACTATTTGAGAGTTCATCTGTTTGTACACAGAACTGGATGTTTGCACATGGGACTAAGGCTGCAGGTGATCTACTGAGTACTGGAATTTAATATAATTTATTGAAATTGCTTTTTGGGAAAAAGATACTGATGCTTTCTACTTGCATATCATTCTGCATATTGAAAATGTTCTGTGAAAATGTCTCTGTTGTCTGCTGTTGGTGTGCAGCATCCCTGCCTTAGAAGTGGAAAAAATCTAGACCACAATGATATTCTGATGACCTCATAGATTTACTCCATACCACAGATCATGAATCAGGAGTTACAGCTATAAAAGCCATGTCAATCCATTTAAACTAAATATGCAAAACCACTTTGCATCTGCTAGCCTTAGATGCAAATAGAATAAAATATTTCTTTGTTGTATGTGCAAGAAAATAAAATGTTTACTAATATCAGAACTCATTCAGCCTGTTAATAGTGAAAACTGACAAGATCTGGATGATTATCTCTGACATAAATTTGAGCAGGGAAAGGATTTGTTGCAATGGAAACTCATGCTAATGGAATGAAAATGACCCAAGTTGTCTGACGGATGTCAAACTCAGTGGAGTTCAGGATGACTTAGAAACATTCAGTCTGCATCAGAGAAAACAAATTGGCTGAATGAAATAACCTCTCATTTGGTTATATATTGTTTTGTTACCAGCAGTAAAACTGAATAAATAATACAAAAACAATTTCCCAAATTTCTCCAAATGAAATCATCCAACTATGTGAGCATGTTTCAGGTTCATTGCTTATACTCAGAAAGGGGAAAATAATCAGTAAAAGAAGTTATATGAATTAACTCAGAATTACAGTTATTCTATTGCAGCCGCATAACCTACACTGTAAAGTTTGTGTTTTGATTTCTTTCCTGGAGAATGTCCACCTGTAAAAAGAATGCGCAATGGGTAAATAACCCACCAAATACTGTATAGGTAAAAGACAAGAAGACAAACATTCTTCGGAGTGCAAAATTCATTTAAAATACAGTAATAGAGAAGAACTGGTAAATAAAAGCTTAGAAAACTGAGACCTCAAATTAAAGAGAGAAAAGGCTGCTAGCTAGGAACAGAGATCTGATTGCTAATTGTATCAAATGACACACACAGCTCTGAGCTGAGCCATGAGGAGCTGTCAGGAAAAACTGAGGAAGAGTGCAAGTCACGGGCCAGAAAAAATCATCCTGGAGTATTGCAAATGGCCCAGAGGCTGTAGGTTGGGGAACACGGGATTAGTTTAGGACTTAATGGCTTTGTGAAGGCTACATGTGCAGTTAATGCATTAGACCCACGAGATCCAGGCCCAGATTTTCGTTTTATTAATACTTGCCCAAGAATTGCTTTGTATTTAAAATGATTTAAGAGCATAGTTTTTCAAAATGAATACTAATTTCAAAATTAAAAATGAAAAAGACAGGACTGATTATTTTCAATGAATTAGTTTTATCTTTGAATCAGTGAAATTAGGTAACCTGCTGGAAAACATAATTATGTAGTATAGTTATATATATTATATATACATTAGGGCAAACATTCATTTTGCCCTGATAAAGCATGAATGAATCAGTGTGCCAGCATGCAGCAAATGAAATCCTTCTCATTCTTTGAAAAAAATCCCTTTCAAAGTTGTTATTTCAATAAGCCATTAATTTCTGGGTTAGCCCATGTGTTGAAGTGCCAAAAGCCACATTGAAAAGGATTATATATTTCATTCAAAACAAGTAAAATTAACAAAAAAAAAAAAAAGAAAAAAAGAACCTTACCCTTAGCCTGAAGAGATCTTTATAGAACTCATTTGGAATTCCAGTAGTTAAAAGATATTCGTTAACAGTTTTTATCCAGTGTTGTATTTTAGAAGACAGTAGACAAAACCACCAAATACGTTTCTATCATGCACTTCAGTGGTTTCAGAAAACTCACTGGACATAAGAAGAATCCTTCTAAAACTTTTATTCATACCAAACCTTATGGTGTGCATTTAGTGCTAGAAATGAGCACAGAGATTGAAGAGATTCTCTGGTTCCCTGCAAGTGGCAGTAGCCTTGTTGTGTTGCTGGAAACTGAGGCACAAAGACAAGGGGTTATGTGGGGGCAACAAGAGAGCCACAGTTTCAAGAGCAAAGCCATCTCACTCCCAGCACGTATAATTGAAGCCGACTTATGAATCAAATTCAGATGGATTCTCGCTTGCCATGCAGTCTTGATCCCTTCTGGAGCAAGCAGCAAGGACCCCAGATTTCTGGAGAAGAGTCTCACACCACAAGCAAAGAGATACTGTGTTTTTCTTCAGCATGCAAACAAGCACCAACCACTGATGCTAATAGTTCAGTGAATTATGAACCATCTCTTTTTCTCAGTATTTTTATATTACTGACATGTAGAGCTAGTTTTTTTAACTGTTTCCCCAGATTACACACACCCGTTTGACACTGCTGTAAAGGTAGTGCAGTACGTTGCTTACTACTGTCTCCCTTTAAAACATAAAGTACTCACCTCCTGCAGAGAAGTCCCCGATCACTCCTGAGGAGCTGGCTGCAAATGGAACCAAAAATTTCAGGGTTCATTAAGCACACAAGCATTCTGGTAAAATCAAAGATCACCCTGGAACCCCCTGGAACATATTATAGTTACCATTAAAATCATCATCATAGCATTTGAGGTTAGTAAAACATATTGCTTAGGCTATAAAACATTCTAAACTAGTATCCCAAATGTCTTGCCTCAAGCAAGCACTTAAATTAAAGTTTCAGACAGCTGGCACTGGAATCAAAATAACAGTTTTACACAAAGAGATTGGATAAACATGATTATTGTTTTCATAATTTATTTTGTCAATGTGCAGTATTGTGCTTTGATCCATCCATTGTACTTGGGCATGATTTCTTTCACTTTTCAACAGGTAACTACATTTCACTGTGGGGTTTTGTTTTCCAGAAAGCAATCCTAATTGATCTGCTGCTCTTGAATAATCTAATCCCTAATTAGTTGAGTCTGAACACTGAGAAAGGCAGCATTGTGTGCTTTCATCAATTTCCATAATCTGGAATTTTTGTTTACTTGCCTCATAAAATCTTTGGGTTTTCAAGGAGAGGCGAACGTAACAGTATCACTATGTAGAGGATAGGAAAAGGGACAGTTTTCTGGATCTTTGGTACAGAATAATTGCAGCAGCTACAAAGTCTTCTTAATTATGACTAAACCCATTTCCTATTTACCTTGAGTAACAGCTTTAAGAAGATGTTATTCCTGCATTTATTCCAGTTCAGCTGCTCCCTGCCTTTTTCGTGCTGTGAAGACGCTATGCTTGCCTTTAAGTATCTCTTTAGTCCAGAACCTTGCAAACTAGAGGCATGTTGAAACATATAACGAGACAGAAATCTACTGCAGCAATCTCTTAAGCAAACACACATTTTCAGAGGCAAATCCCATATGATTTTACATTTAATGCCTTCTTCCAAACCCAAAATGTGGCTTCTTCAACAAATCTCAGAAAGATTTCTGCACTGTTTTACACCTGTGTTTAACCAACAGAAGATCTTCCCCAGAATGCAAACCTTCATCCAGTGTTGACACACACAATTAGAAAAGAAGAACCAGGGTTAAAAGAAGATCCTGCTTTGCAGAAACAGGAAGGTGTTTGGGCACTGATGGAGAGTGAAACAGTACTCCCATAGTTCATGTTTTCTTTTCTTTTGTAGCCATTTCTCATAGAAATACTTTTAAATGTTAAAAAATATCTGATTTTAGTAAACACTTTTCTTGCAGGCCCCTTTGAATATTGTCAGTACAGATCTTTCACTTAAATGGGAAATTTAACTATGACATCAACAGGAACTGGGCTTTCCTGCCTCAGTTTACACAACTGCAAGCTGCAAACATATAAACGTGTTTCATTTGTACAGCATTCTTCTGTTTCAAAGGGATGTTATAGAGCTTGTCAAGATTTACAAATGACTTTGAGTCATTTTGTCGAAAGTATTTCATGGGCAAAATGCAGATCTCTCACAAATATAAATTAGGAATTACCCTCATTGAATTTAGTGGGATCAGTATAAATTTATTGCACATATGGGGCTGAGAGCAAAACTCGTCTCTGTTTACGCAAGCTAATTGCACGGGTTTTGCTAGCGTGAAAAATGATCAGTGGTTCTCACATTTGTGAAAAAGATTTATAAAACCAACACAGACCAAACAGGTGCTGTTCAAGATTGCCCTTTGCTTTCCACACCTGCAGTAAAATGACCTTTTCTTCTCTGATGGGAAGTCCACATGGATATATGACCACCAGGACACCAGAAAGTATAACCAACCTTTCTGCTCCAGAAGGCAACACATTAGCCATCACCCATTGCCTTAAACAGACCTTGACTGGACTTTGGTCTCCAGAGGTCAGTGTGTTAAGACATTGCATCAATGCATGGACAATTTTGGACACAGATCAATGGAAGAATGAGATGTTGAAAATCTAAGAAAATTGCCTATAGTGACATTCAGCCCTTTTCTTTCCTTCCTTGGACATGTCTCTGTTGCTTTTAATTAAGCTCTCAGATTCATAGCTTAGAGAACTTTAATAACTGCAGAAAGTGCTTGCAAGGCAAATTTTTCACTTCTAAGAAAGATCCTTGGAATAAATGTTACCTTCTAATTTATAGGTAAACTTAACCTGATTTTACCTTTACTGTAATATATTGCATGGCCATTTGTGAGCAACAGACTGATGACATAAAAGATTTTAACTTTTAATAAATGGTGAAAATGTTGGATCGCACACCTCCACCACACTGTAAGCATAGTGCTTGCTGATGAATTAATCTAATTAACAAAGGTGAAGGTTTATAATTGGGGTTAACTAGAATTTAACTGGTCATTGTTCATACCCCCCACTGCATTGTCCCCTAAGTAACTCACTCTGGTAGCCCTCCATGGTCCCTCGACCCCAGTATCAAACTCAGGGATCAACCAGCTTCAAGGAAAAGTAGATACAATCATATTTCCAAGACTGCAATAACAGCAGAACTTAATGGCGTGATATTTTTATACTGTTTGGGAAAGAGACCCTATTTTTTTCTTACTCATAAGCCCAGAGTATTTTTAAATAGTTCAAGTCCCTGTAGTACTTCACAGTTTGCAGTGCAGTTTAAAAAGTAATACATCTTTTCTTAGATGTACCCCAGATTCTGCCTTTTAATAGACATGATAATGAGATTCTGTGTCTTCATTTCCCAGTGTGCAGAAGGCTCAAATAAATCTTTGATTGTTCACAACCCTGGAGAAGGCTCCCAAGCCCAGGAATGTAATGATGTTTCTCTAAACAATCATTGCTAATGAAATTTAAGTGTATTTAAAATATATAGATGCACATGTGTATATATATTAGTACTATCAGAATTGGGTTTTATTCATTTTCTTCGTAAATTTTAATCTGATTGCAGTAAAAGTAACTCTCAAGAGATTCATTTCTAGGAGAAGGAAGGTCCTGAGTTATTTCTCTGACCTGCAAGACACACATTGAGCTCCTGATTTTGAGTGAACTCCCTCTAATAAGGAAATCAAGGGATGCTTAAAAGAGCCATTCAGCGACTTCTTCATAAGATTAGGGACCATGTCCCCAGACCACTGCTGAAAACGTCATGCAGCTGACTGCAGTCAAACTGTTATAACAACTTTGAAAGAACAGGGTGTCCAAGTAACTCAAAGAACATTAAAGGGCAAAACAGAGGGGGCACAGGGATTGGTAATAAAGGGTTAAGAAGGGGTGCTTCAGAATGAAAACAGTGAGGTTCCTAACAGTTTTCATTATCTGAGCATTAGATTAACCTTCTTTTGATGAGACTAGATCAGAAAATGCTTCCATACCACCATCCTTTTTAAAGTTTTCATGTAAAATGCCTCTTAGGCTGGTACCTCTCTCTGTGTCCATGCTACTAGCCATCACTATGTGCAGCGTTCTTTGCACCCATAGCTGATGAGACTGCTACTGGGAATTCTTTCACAGCAAAAGCACAGAGAAGCCAAAACAATCATCAGCCTTACAGACAAGAAACCTAAGACAATAAGGAGATACAGCACTCAAACCGAAGCTGTAGCAGCTAGGATTGGCTTGGTGGCTTATTATAAAATCCAAACTTGGCAAGATTCAGTGAAATGTTACTCAATATCAGTCAAATGCACAAATAAACCTGGGCTTGGCTATATGTGCTCTGGGCACCTCTAAACCTCTTTGTCAAAAGAAATGAAATACTGTGGTTTCCTTTGGCTACCGTCAGACTTATGGGTAACTGCATTCCAAGATAAAACCCATAGGGAGCCTTGTTATAGGAAGTTAAACAGCCATCAGCACTCACCTGTTGAGTCGTTGTGCTGCATACTTTGATGCAGATTGCTGAATAACATTATCGATGTTCAGCAAAGACACACATAACATACTTGTCTTCAGGAAAAAAATGCTAATGCCTTACACCCTCTGTAGCTGTTAAATTGGTTTTAAAGGTAACCCAGCCTGAATGGCATCACTTTATTTCAGGACTCAAATTTGTTGACAAAACTCCTAGCTTATTTCCATTCCTTTCACATTCGTATGTATCCCAGCCTTTTTAAGGAAACAAATGATCGTGCCCATTCCTAATTTTTACCAAAAACTGATACTCTTCAGAAATCTTGCAGGCAAAGCATTTTGATTGTAATGTTCCTCCTGACATAAAGCAGCCTGATAGGACTTTGGATATCATCGACTTCTAAAGGTTATATCAGAGAGGTTTACATAAGACAACAACTTGCACAGCCATAGTGAAGATAAAAATCTCATTCCTAGGCAGGAGAACCCCTTGAGTATGAAGGGAGGGAGAAAAAAGTGATAGGAGAGCTGCCACAGCCTTCTCTCCCCCAGAGATCATTCCCTGATCTGAAAAGAACTCCCTCTGCCCCACAGATTTTATATGATAGCATCAATATTCTCTCATTAATAATTTTCTCTTTCTAAGAAAACAGAAAAACATTACATATTTCTGCCTGACTGTAGGATGGAGTGCTGAGCTGGTGGTGCTTGGTTCTCATGTGAAAAATAGAGAACTAGACTCTTAGTGGTGGCAAGTGAGCATTACCCCACTGCCTGCATTACGCTTCACCTATGAGGAGGTTGTGTTTGGCCCACAGAGCAATCCTTTGGATAATTTTAGCATAAACCGTGTCTCCTACTTAAACAGTGGCAGACATCACAGGAGAAACTGTTATCTTATAAAGCCAAGATTCAATAGGATCAAGAGAGTGTTGATTTTATAACAAAACTTGATAAACAAAATTGGAATTACCTATTAACTGGAACATTTAATGATGACACAATGATGCATGCCTATATCTTGGAGCAGGTTTCCCTCAATTCTCAATTTCTTTCTTCTGCACATGACCAGAAAGTAAATCAGAGAAAGGCAATCAAAAAGAGAAGGGAAGTCAAAATAGAAGAAAAAAAACCAAACCAAACATAGAAAGAATAAATACCCTCAAAGCCAGTTGATTCTTGGAGTGGTGCTGGATAATCAAAAAAGCTGTGGCTGACTATTGTTTACAAAGCCAAGCTAGCCTGAGAGTTTTGAGTTCTGGTAGGCCAAGACAGCAAAGACCTGGTCCTATCTAGCAAACAGCTGCAGCCGTTTTTTAATTAACAGCATATTCCTGCCTTGGTTCAGTTTCTATGGATGGAAAGGTGTTTCCCAAGGAAATCAGAGTAGGGATAGAATAAGGAAAGAGGGAAAAGAAGAAAAGGGGGAGGCAGGGGGAAGGTGAGTTCAGGAGGGCAATGAGGCGGGGGTTAACAACGCTGCTTAAGATCAAGGGCTGAAGTGCTGAGATGCTGCCAGACTTGAAAACTTTAATTTACTGTCACTGTTAGCCCCCTTTGAGGTTTATGGTGGTATTTATACACACAGCATCAATCACATGAAACAAGGAGGGGATTTATAGTTTGTTTTAAAGACTGTAAATGCAATGTAATGCAAATAGCATGCCTCATGGGCATTTACATTTAATGGGAAAATTACAGATGCAAAAGATTGGTAGAACAAATTTTAAATTGACTTTATTACATCTAGTGCTTTTCAGAGAATACTATTAAAAAAAAAAACAACATGAGGAGATATGGTAATGGAGTTCTAGACTGTAGCTTGACAGCTTAAATTCCACTTAACTGACTTTGCTTGCATCTTTCTGTTTACATTACTTCTTCCAATAAGTTTGGCTGGCAAAATCTGTGGATCATAAACTGATTAGAAACTTTGATTCTGTTTTGTTTCCTTTTTGGGGTTGGAATATGTAATGTGTAAAGCTGATTGTATCTCGATAACTGTTTTTAACTAAGGTTCATCATCAGAATTGCTTAATCTAGACACAGTCAGGAATAGCTCTTCAAATCTATTACTGCCTTAATATGTGACTATACATGCATCCTCCTTAATTTGTATAATCTTCCTGTATCTCCCTTATATCTCTATAGATACAATAGAAAAAGATGGCTGCAATACCTTGGTCACTGGTGGAGTGCGCATTCAGAACTAATCACAGCTATTTGCAGAAAGCCCATTCTTTCTCAAAATAGCTCTATTTCCCAGTATTCCCCTGTGGCTCCAAACACTTCTTCTGGAATGAGGATTGTTTGCTGTTGGGGTTGGAGGTTGTTATCATCAGTTGTTGACTTATGGTAGATCCATCTGAAAGGTGTTGGTGGGCCTCAGACTCACCTTCAGCAGACCAGATGAAGCCCTGGTTCAAACAGGTGCAAACTCTACTTGCTTCAGGGAAGCTGTACCCAATTACACAAGGGCTGATTTGTTTTTAACACCCTATAATGATTGCTGTATTACCCTCCCATTCAGGCCTCAAATGAGGAAAGAATTGTAGGTGTTTTTTAAGCCCATTCCTATTGAGTGAAGTACACATATTAGTTTTTAGTCTGTTTTAAAGCTGCAACTCTCTACATGCAGAGACCTGCATTTATCTGTCAGGAGTCTCACCCTTTGTTTCTTCAGATTTCCAAATCTTTACTATCACCTAACATACCATCCTTAAAAACATTTTCCAGCCCTGCTCATCATACTGTATTTTCGCCAGAGTATAAGCAAATGAGGACTTGACCTTCGAAGAACATAAAGCACCTGTGTGGTCAAAGATTACTAGAGCTTAGCTTATTAGGATTGTGTCTTTCCAAGTTTTCAAGCAGAACCTCCCTGAAAAGTTCCCTTTTTGTTTCTATTCATCATGATACATACACATACATCCTTGACATATCCTTTAAACTTTTTTTACCAAAAAACAATGATTATTGAAGAGGATGATTTTCCATTCATTAGCAATTCAGCTAATTCAACTAAGTTCAGTGGGATAGTTATGATCTACAGATACCCCTCCAGTACTTTCTTCCTTGTCCCTATTTTCAGCTTCTGTAGGTCTCCCCTTCATCTAAATAGTGATACCTTAAAGTAGACTAATAGCAAACTATGTGGCATCTCAGGGCATTTATTAGTGAGGAATTGAGTCAGACTCATGTTTATTCTTTGTCCAGCTCTGAAAGATATATTCTCCAGGTGTTGTCATCCATAACAAATACAGAATGGCAGAGAGCAGTCTATATTAACATTTGAGCTAATACAAACATGCACTGTTTAAGCAATTCACCTGAGATTGAGTGCCTTGCTGTTGTGACTTTTGTTTAAGGCTGTAATCCCATGTGATGACATTCTGTTGTGCAGAAGTAGTACATTAGCACCATGCCTGGCAATGTCACGATGATGAGGAAACCATAGACTCCGGAAGCAAGAGCAGAAGGGAAACAAAGTTTCACACTCACGAACCATTAATGAAGTAAACACACTTGAATGTTGACAGGTAACTCACAAAGCCACCTACCAGATATGTTCCAAATTGAAGCAACACTCACAAACAATGCAAACTTATCTGTAAGCAGGATTTAGAATCATTTTAAAGTTAGATTATCCTGTGATAGCCACGTAAAAAATGCCTGAGCAGACACAATGGCTTCAAAACAGAGAGGGAAAAGGCCTCTTTCCTTTTTGTGTGGAAGGCTGTGCTTCCGTTTTATATCTGTTTCTGATGATCCATAAAGAAACTAAATTTACTGCAAGGGTGCACATCATAATGCAGTATCCTAATCCTACAACACTGCTGAATGTCGTTTCCTTACCTTTAGGCACTATAAGTATCACTGTTTTCAATAAACTACTCACAAATTTTAACCATAACTGGAAGTATTTGGAGTGATGAAGCTAATATTATGGTACCTGTGAACACATACGCAGACTTATGCTCCTGTAACGATAGGTAAATCCATGTATTCATGTGTGATCAGCTGTCAGAGTCACACAAAACGAATGAATTGTTTGTTGCTGTGAAAGGCTATCTAGACAAATGTGCACACATCACAACATTTGGATCAATTTCACAACCCCCAAATGACAGGTTTCTGCATAATTTACTGAAATGGCAAATAAAATTTCCCTCCACCCCCAAACCATCTTTCAATGAGGACTGAAACATTGCTTCTGGAGCTCAGAAAATTACACTGGCAAGATGTGGACAGGATGGAAAAAAATAACTAAATATTAGACCCCTTAAGTTTCAAGTAGTTTTGTCTTTCTTGGTAAACATTTTCCACATCTCCAGATACAAACACTATTCAAAGTTTAGCCCAAGCTTCTGAAAGAGACCGATTACACTGCAGCACTCTAGGACTGTCATGTGAATTAAAAGACAAATACTGTCCAGATAGCACATACCAGCTGCCAGTTACTACGTGGTAGGATATTCCCTCACCTTCTGTTTTTGTTTTATGAAAGATTGTGTTCTTTTAAAATGGCAGGTTCCCTCCATTCCTTCTTCTGTGCTCACAGTGAGACATGTCATCTGATACTAATTTGTACTTGCTTTGTGTTTTGACTTAATTTGATTAATAACTATATCCTTTAATGGCAGCGTGACTTAACAATATGCTATTATGTTGGTGCACTGCACTTCGGCACCTAGGAGCAATTCATCTGCATCACAGCTACATCTTGAAACTAATTCAAAGAGGCATTATTCTGTACCTCTTTTACCACAGGGTAGAGGTCTGCTCTTCTACTGGAATTGCCAGTTTAGAGCTGCAGGCCAAATCTGTGTTGAATTTATCCAAAGACTTCTTAGCACTCACATTCCAGCCTGAATATCTATAGAATTCTTTTACCCCTTTTCTCACCCACATATTATTGATTGTCCTTTGTGTCTTTTAAAGTTCCCTTACACATTCATATTTTTAGGTATTTTAAAGAGTTTAGTAGTACAATACTTCAGGCAATGACAAAAATGAAAGGAGAAAGAGAGAAGCTAGCAAGAAAGAATTTATCACAGCCCAAATTACAAGTATAACTGAGCTTTATGGTGTCTTTAGATAACACATGTTTTCTGTTGTATGGGGTGAAACTAGTAAATAAGGTTTAACATGTCTGCAGGGAGGCAGGGAAAACCAGTGTATTCCCAGCAGCTCCAGATAAACTCAGGAGAAGGTGTAATTGCACAAAACCAAATGTGGATTACCAACATCAACACCAGAGAAGCGCCTCAAAAAGAGAGGAGAGAGAGAAAACCAAAACTTACCCTACAGAGTGGTAGGTCTTTCTACTCATGTTATTGAAAAGCTTCATTCCCTAATGAGAAGGGAGAGGGGGGGAAAAGGAGAGGTTTCTTCAAAGGTTTCAGGTCTAAAAGAATGGGACTACTCAAAGCATGGCAGAGAAACCAGTATTTGGGAAAAAGAAGAGGAAGTGTTGGATAGAAAAAGGATGTATCAGAGCTGAATTTCCCTATTGATTACCTGAGTCAGTAACTGCTGTTCAGGATTTCTGCTTCTGTAAAAGAATGATTTAAAGTAACACCCATGGTACCACAAAGCAAACCTATCTGAGCACTGAAGCAATGAAAGGATCAAACATTTACAAATAAATAAATACATTTTAATAATAGCCCTTACAGTGGAAACAATGACAGTAAAGTTTATACATGATGGTTTCCTTTGTATTAGACCAATGCTTGCCACATGCCAAAACATAAACCAGACTGCATAATATATAGGTTTTTCAAAATTTCCTCAGATTAGTTTTTTATTAATGCCTGTCAACAGCAAATGATAGGCATGTGTTGCATTAACAGCCACTATAAGCCATGCCAGTACTGACTTCTCTGCAATTCTAAAGCCTGAAGGAAGCTTAAAAGCCCATTGACTGAAGAGGAACCAACCTCATTTGCATTACATTTCTGAGGTTTTTACCTTCTATTAGTTGCTTTTTATATTTTCACTACTAATAGTCAATAATTACAGGGATATTAAGGATCATCTAGAATAAACAGATCTGATTTTCTTCTCCAAGGTGTTCCAACCATCTCTGGTTATTTTTAAACTTCCTGACTTAGATAATTTTGGGAAATTATTTTCTTTTTATTTCTCTGTGTGAATAGTTGAAAAGAGCTCCCTATCTCCACACCTCCACTCTCTACCCCTCCTGTTCATGATAAATCTGTAAAATAAGTTCATATTAAAGCAAAGTAGTAGAAAGAAATTAGATTCGATA